AAACCGCAAGGGAAGTAATTAATAAATGCTTCCCCTGGGTGGCCACTATTTCATAACTGAATGAACATAGTCGACAAAAGGAATTGGGCCATTTTTTCTCCTGAACGTGGGCAATGGCAATTGGTTATCGAGTGCCTGGAGCTCTTTTTGGCTAAGTACTCGTGTGAACCCTGGTAAAGATTAGACCGCTGCCGTTCTACTTTCCCACCAACTATGCGAATGACGTTCGGAGATGGGAATTACCGAACGGGGGAGCATTCGTACCCTAAAATTAAGAAAATCTCTTGCATGGTGTTTGCACAGGAACCCCCAAAGAGAGAACAGCCAGGACAACTATTTCTCTGGAACTGTTTTGGGCTATGCCAAGTTTCCGGCCGGTCAAAACTTTACCCCGGTGGCATTCCAGTTTCACCAAACTGATCTGAGTGATATTTGGATATGTTATACACTCAGATCAGGGCTGTGCGGGATATAACTTTGATGTGGTTCCTAGTTATGGTGGGGATACTTTTGGGGTATGGTATATTTTGTATAGATTTTTTTGTACCTGAGAGATAATTGAATTATATGTTTTTCTCACGCAACTATCTCTCAGGCACAAAGGGTTCTGTGAATAAAAACCTTGTATTATTGTGTTGGAGATCCCATGTAGGGGTCTCTGATAAAAGCTGTGTGTGGCCTGAAATAAAACTGTTTTGTCTGGTTGCTATGGTAATGGATGTCTGCATGCTTTAATGGTTCCAGTCTGACTGAGAGAAGGAATTATTGGAGGTAACTAGTCGCTTACCCGTGGTCCGCTACAGTATGCATTTTTGTTTTTTTCATTTTTCACACAAAAACTGTATTTTCACTGATATCATCATCACTATATGTGTTACTGCTCTAAGGCACTCATATATATGTGTTCAGCAACATCTCATGCGTACAGCGGTACCCCCTCATGTCAGGTTTTATAGGGTTTTGGAAAGTCAAAGGGTTAAATATAGGGCATGAATGCTAAATTCTCTGTTATTTTTGCCTTGGTTGTCAGACAGGTCCCCCAATATATAATTAATCAAATAACATAATTATATATAAATAATATATAAAATACATTTAGAATCAAATTATTTATATAAAGACCTTGATTGTTAGTAGTTCAGTTTGTGTTGTAGATAGATATTCTAACTGACTCTTGGGAAATTCATCTTGTGTAATTTCAAAAAGGAACAGCAAGTAAAAATAGTGGAATTTGTTTTTTCAAAACTGAGACATCTCTTTGGCAAGTGGATACTTTCTAGAAATATCCAGATTAATGGGCCACCACATTTACTTGACCTTTCAGCTCCCAAATACTTCCTGTGGGGTTATATGAAGAAACATGTGTATGTGAACATATATTAAATTCTCTGGACTTTTGGTCTGTGTTTTCAGGCAAGTCCCTCAAATTGCAATCAATACAATTACTTAATTATGTAAAAATAGTACATAAATATGCACATAGGATTTAAATATATATATATATATAAATAATTTATATATTTAAAGTCTACAGGTATATTTATGAAATTATGTATGTAATTATGAAAATGGATAGATTATGTATATATATTTCATATAATTTTTATTTAGTTATATACATATAATTTCATTCTAAGCGTATCTTGATATACACATTAGTATCAAAATACAGTGATAATAAAATGACATATTTTGAAATGTTTTTATTATTTTTATATCATTTATTTTTTAGAATATATAGTTACTATATATATTATATATATATATATATATATATACCCAACAATAGTAGTCCAGGGAGCACACTGGGTCTTCAAATTAGTGAAAAAAATTCCTTTTAATGTATCATAAAAAATACATCTGCTGTGAGATACCGACCAACGTTTCGACCCTCCTGGGGTCTTTATCAAGATCACAGTGACACAATACATAAACAACAATATATACATAAATGTAAACTAACCTTACCAATAGAGTGATGAGGCAGCCGCCGGACTGAATAACCCGGAAGTGAGAAACCCACGTGCACCAATGCGTCTGACGTACATGACAGGGGTTGCTAAGCAACCTAGCGAAACAAAGTGAGTGCAAACGGCAAAAAGCCGAAAAGAGTCCCAAAACTACAAATCCAAAGTATAACATTAGGAGGAACTAAAATCCCGACCATTTAGCCTCATGCAGCACAGAAAGAGATACTAAACCAACGTGCCAAGTGACCTGAGTGCAGTCCTGAATAAATGTGCCCAAATAGTGAGCGGACTCTACATCAAGTGAAATAAAATCTGTACATGTCAAAGGCTAAATGGAAGGAAAGAACATAGGGCAAATATTGTAAATGCATTAATCTTCATAGGTACATCAAAGAACAACATTAAATAATTATCAAAAGATATATTTCTATCGTAAATAATACATCAAAAGCTGAGCATGAAATACATATAATATAATATTAAGAACTACAAAAAATAATGAGCATTAGTATAGCCAAATCTTATTCTGGGGATAACCACCTAGCTGGCTGGCAAACAGTTAATATATCTACACATAGTAAATTAACACGTAAATATCAGGAGGTTAGTCAGACCACCAATCTGAGAACCAAATATGAGAAAGTAGAAAAGTACTAAATAAACCATGAATAATAAGTGCATACTGGACAAAACACAAAGGTCCCCTCCAAGGAAAATACAGATAGAGACCCAAAGAGAGACATTGACACTGAACTAAGGGTAAATTAGATGGTTAATTTATCACGAGGAGCGCAATGCACCAATAATGTGTTTAAAGAAACATCGAAAGAACTAAGTTCTCATTAAGTCCTTTCAGCGTCACTGTATTTAGGTGATATATCCAATGAGCTTCACGCTGTAAAAGTAGTTTAGACCTGTCCCCTCCTCTTGGTTGAGCAGGTACATGGTCGATCGCAATGAATTTTAAAGTGGGTAAATGGTGTTGCATCGCGAGAAAATGTTTTGCGACCGGTTTGTCCGTTTTTAGGTCCCTAAATGCAGTAAGAATCCCTGATCGGTGTCCCCTGATCCGATCTCGCAGAGTCATATCGGTCTTACCGACATATGCAAGTCCACAAGGGCATGTAATCATATATATGACATGTGTAGTCATGCAGGAAATATAGTGTTTAATGGGAATTCTTTTTCCATTATGTGGATGAGCGAATGTCTGTCCAATTAGCATATGACTGCAAGTGACGCAGCCACTGCATCTATAGCAACCTTTTTTATGAATTTTTGATGGTACGGCGTAACACTGCCGAGGGTCATTTTTTACCAACAGGTCTCTCAGGTTACGGTTGCGTCGATAGCTGATAGTCGGGTGTACTTTGAATCTGTCAGGAAGATTCTGGTCGCACTGAAAAATGTCCCAATGTTTATATATAGATTTTTTAATTAGTGGAGTGGCTGTGTTAAAGGTAAGCGGAAGAAATATATTTTTCTTTAAATTAGATCGGGGTACTTCAATTTGGTTAAATTTCGTCCACGCTTTTTCTTGTGCATTCTTGAGAACGCGGGGATGGTATCCTCTTGTTATAAATCTGTCCCACACTTCTTGCAGCTGCTGATCACGCCGATTTGGATCACTGTTGTATCTCATAACTCTTAAAAATTGTGAGATGGGTAAAGAGTCCTTCACATGTTGTGGATGGAAACTAGTGGCGGCCAGCAGTGTGTTGCGATCAGTTGGTTTGCGAAATAATGTAAATCCCAATTGATTGCCTTCCTTATAAATCTTGACATCCAAGAATTCAATACTGGTGCTATGCCAAGAGAGTGTCAGCACTACTGGAATGGGGAGATCATTGATATACTTTATCATCTCCTCAAGTGCAGTGGATGTTCCTTCCCAGATCATAAAGATGTCATCCACATATCTGAGATATTTAATTATGTGCTGTTGATACTCTCGTAAGATATATTTATGCTCAAACCAGTGCATAAACCCATTGGCATAGGCTGGTGCCATAGCTGCACCCATGGCAGTGCCAGAGACCTGTAGGTAGAATTGATCCTCGAATTTGAAGTAATTGCACGTTAGTGCAATGTCTAACCATTCCATAAGGTATGGAATAGGGGGGCCGTTATAACTATCATCATTGGTCCAAATATCAATAATAGCTTCAATTCCTTCCTTCTTTGGTATTATGGTATAAAGACTTTGCACGTCCATTGTGGCTAGAATGATCCCTTTATCTGTCAGGTCTATCTTACGTATCTGGCTTATAAAATGTTGAGTATCCCTTAAACAAGTTGGAAGCTTTTTAACGCTATTGTTAATGTGATAATCAATATACTGGGCAATTGGCTCCAGCAGTCCCTCTTTAGCCGATACAATAGGACGACCTGGTGGATGTTGTAGATTCTTATGGATTTTTGGTAAGGTATACATCACTGGATGTTTCGGATTTTTGACAAACAGAAATTTAGCAGTATTTTCATCCAGATAGCGATGTGAAATTCCTTCACCAATCAGTTTTTCTATCCTCCGTTGGAATTTTATCACCGGGTCGAAGGTGAGTCTCAAGTAGGTAGATGAATCCTGTAATTGTCGAATTATTTCCTTCTTATAGTCGACATAAGCTTGTATTACCACGGCACCTCCTTTATCTGCAGGCCGTATGGTGATGGTCGAATCTTGCATCAAATCTCTTAGTGCTAAACGTTCATTTTTTGACAGGTTATCTCTATGTGTAGGCAAAGTGGTTACAATAGAGCTAGCATCTTGGCGTACGGTTTGCATAAAGGTTTTTATTGTTGGATTCGGAGTATATACATCTTTTTTATAGCGGTTAGGAAACAAGTGCACATTTGAAGAGGTATCTTCTTTTCTTACCTCATAGCTGTATAATGTTCTTTGTAATTTATACAAATCAATCGCCATTTCAAATTTTTTTGGCTTAGCAACGGGTATAAAGGTCAATCCCTTTTGTAGGACCGAAATATGGTTATAGTCAAGGGTTTTATTGGATAGATTGAAGACAGATATTACCTCCGCTGTCTGGGAGGTTTGCCCGTGTTTCCTGTATTTCTTGTGACCCTTTTGTCCACGTCTGAGGTGTCTCTTAGGTCTCTTTTGTCTTGTCCACTGGTATTGGGCATCCGTGGTGGATCGTTTACATGTGCGCCTTCCCTCAAAAAAGTCACTTGTTTGCTGCTATGTGTATCACCTCTGTATTCCCCTTCTGAGGCAGATTCACCTGAGCTGATATCTACTGTTTGTAGAGATGGTTTTCTGATCCGTGTTCTAAATTTCGGAGGAGGGTTCCGTGTATTAGTATCGGACCCGCTTAGCCAGCGGTATACTTGATGAAATTTATAGTCATGTTTAACCTTTTCTACTTTAATTTTCTTAAAACGAATAAGTTCATTTTGATACTTCTGGATGTCGTCCTGTAGTTTAATCATCAAGTCAGTGGATGGGATTGATTGCAGTGCAGTGACATGGTTTAATTCAAACTCTTGTATAGATTTTTTAACTTGGAGTAATTCCTGACCAACTTCCTCAATCACTATCACCATCCAGTCCAGCGAACATTTATTAGAAATGTTCATCCACTTTTTACAGAAGTCTGGGTTCTGTCGTCCAATAGTTGGAGCGTTTCTTATCCGGAAACCCCTAGGAATATGCTTCGATCGATAATAGTCTGACAAAAACACTCCGTGTAAATCCAGGTCCACTTCTCTCTTTTTTAGCCTGGATAGATCATTATATAGATCTTTCGCTGCATAGGTGTGTGGTAAATCTTGTGAACTCCGTGGCCATAGCACAGATAGAGCTTTATCCTCATTGATAGAGAGAGTTTCTGCTGTCTCTATTAATGCTCCGGCTCGATGCAAAAAATCCTCCATAATGAAAAAAATCCTGATAGCTGTAGATCACTGTTTAGATGATAAGACTTATATTCAAAATAAGGGGGTGCTCATGCAAGTGCCACGCTAGCACTTTACATATACATAAAGAATCAGTGAAGCAAGGCACTCCTCCTCCAGCTATATATTCAATATAAATGCCCAGGTGCAAACCCGCGTTATATATACCCAACAATAGTAGTCCAGGGAGCACACTGGGTCTTCAAATTAGTGAAAAAAATTCCTTTTAATGTATCATAAAAAATACATCTGCTGTGAGATACCGACCAACGTTTCGACCCTCCTGGGGTCTTTATCAAGATCACAGTGACACAATACATAAACAACAATATATACATAAATGTAAACTAACCTTACCAATAGAGTGATGAGGCAGCCGCCGGACTGAATAACCCGGAAGTGAGAAACCCACGTGCACCAATGCGTCTGACGTACATGACAGGGGTTGCTAAGCAACCTAGCGAAACAAAGTGAGTGCAAACGGCAAAAAGCCGAAAAGAGTCCCAAAACTACAAATCCAAAGTATAACATTAGGAGGAACTAAAATCCCGACCATTTAGCCTCATGCAGCACAGAAAGAGATACTAAACCAACGTGCCAAGTGACCTGAGTGCAGTCCTGAATAAATGTGCCCAAATAGTGAGCGGACTCTACATCAAGTGAAATAAAATCTGTACATGTCAAAGGCTAAATGGAAGGAAAGAACATAGGGCAAATATTGTAAATGCATTAATCTTCATAGGTACATCAAAGAACAACATTAAATAATTATCAAAAGATATATTTCTATCGTAAATAATACATCAAAAGCTGAGCATGAAATACATATAATATAATATTAAGAACTACAAAAAATAATGAGCATTAGTATAGCCAAATCTTATTCTGGGGATAACCACCTAGCTGGCTGGCAAACAGTTAATATATCTACACATAGTAAATTAACACCTAAATATCAGGAGGTTAGTCAGACCACCAATCTGAGAACCAAATATGAGAAAGTAGAAAAGTACTAAATAAACCATGAATAATAAGTGCATACTGGACAAAACACAAAGGTCCCCTCCAAGGAAAATACAGATAG